ATGCCAAGTCATGGGGCCTGCTGGGCGCGGGCGCGACGTGGCCCCGGCGCGGACCCGATGCGCGCCCACGTTCCCAGGAATAGGGACATTCCCCCAGGGACCGGCACAGCCTCAAGCGGCCGCCGGCCCCCGCCCCAGGCGGTGCCCACATTGCTGGGATTAAAGGTCTGTTAGGGCTAGCGGGTTGGATCCTGTGACTGCAGAGCGGAGGTACGGCGGCCCGTTCTCACCCTGGGGACTCAGTCACTGGACACTCCTTCCTGCAGCGGTCACATCCGACCTGCCCTCTCAGCCCTGTCTCAGCTGGCTAGGGGGGGCGGGCAGCTCTACCAGGGCCACCATGCCATCGCCTCCCCGCCTGAGAAGGCAGAGTGGGGTTTGACGGGAAACGACGGGGTCCAGAGGGGGGGTTGGGGCTGGGGCTGCACCTGGGCTGGCCATTTTGCAGGTGTGGGTGGCCACCTGCCTCAGCTGGGGCTGTGGGATGAGGTTTGGAACAGGTGTGGCTCTGCAGTGGGGTGCAGTGTGTGCAGTGCAGGGTGAGCACCTGAAGATGGATAGAACGTCATCTGTGGGGTGTGGTACCGGGCAGAGAGGGGCTGGGATCAGGGGTGGAGTCAGGCCCCCCAACCCCAAGGCTCCCAGGGAGGGCCCCTGTGGGGAGGCCATGTCTGTAGGGAGTCCATGCGGGATGCCTGCGGTGTGACCCCTCCCCCAGTGCTCCCAGGACCTCCCGCGGGGCAGCCACAGGCAGGTGGGACAGACTGCCCCGAGCCCCGAGCCCCTGCTGGTGCCTGCAGAGCTGGGTGCACACCCAGACCCCCTGGATGGAGGGCCTGCCACCCAGCTGTACCCCTTTCAAGTCCTCTGTGGTGTCACCACTGCTGACCCAGGGCTGACCATGTCATTTGGAAGCAGAGCAGGGAAGTCTTCCCATGGGCTTGGGGTTGGGGGCGGACAGGGAGTTAGGGGACAGACATGGATGGAAGGTGGGGATGGGGCAGCACAGCCTGAGGGGATGGACATGGGGATAGGGAGCCTTCTGGGCCCACTCAGTTCTCACAGGCAAACCAGGGCAGGTGAGCAGGGTGTGGCAGTGCGGCCTGGGGATGTTTCGATGGGGTCCCGGTACCATGGGATGGGGGTGGGGGCTGTGGAGAGGCCCCCGGCTCTGGAACCCTGGCTTGGCCTTTGGGATCGCCTGACCAGGCCAGCTGAGCCCTTCAGGCCTGAGACCCTGCGCGTCCGTGGGGTGGTGGTGGTGAGCGGCCATCCCTTGGGTAGAGAGTGACCAGCCTTGGGTCACTCAGCAACTAGTGACCCCCAGGATGAGCACGTGGTTGTCCACCTGCCCAGTCCCCTTTAGTGTCCTTAGGCCCAGGACAGGGACCCAGTGTGCTGCCTCCACTGTCCCTCTTGCTTTCATGCCCAGGAGCATCTCAGAACTCTGTTGGGGCTGGACCACACCCAGCCCCAACACCCAGACCCAAACATCTCTACCTGGGGGCGTCCAGGGGCCCAGCCAGGCTGATGGGCCAGAGCAGTCCTCTGTTTTGTAGCTGTTCTGACCAGTCTCTGCCCACCTGGTCCCCTCTTCCCCCCACAGGCACACCCAGGGCCGGGGCGAGGGGTGGGGCCCAGCAGGGTGTGTGCAGGATGCCCCACCTGACCTGGCAGGTTTGCTAGATCCTAGCTGCGGGATTAGGGGGGCTGGCTGATCCCAGGTCCCCTCAGGACCTCCAGCTGAATGCCTCCAGGACCCAGTGAAGGGGTCATTGCAGGGCCGGGCACAGTCAAGGTCAGCAGCAATCAGCTGAGGCCGAGTCTCCTTACCCTCCTGCGGGCCTCGGTCCCCCCACCCAAGCACCACCCCACACCTGCTTTTCCCCTAGCTTCCTCCAGCTTGGCTTGTGAAGCTGAACCCCTGATCCGGACACACTGCCTGTGTGGCTGGGCTCCGCCCTTCTGACCCTGGATTTAATCCCCAGCCCTGTCGTAAGCCCCTCTTCAAACCCTGGCTCTCCCCTCCACCTCTGAGGGGTGGGGAGTGCCCCCTGCAATCCTCCCCGTGCCCAGGGTTGGAGGTCTGCAGACGGCAAGCCTGGACCTACCTGCCCAGGTCCCTGTCCTTACTCCCCGCCCTTCCCCACATGGCCCTAGGGCTGGAGCAGCCTCCACATACACACTCATACACATACTCTCACAGTCGCACACTCACCTTGCTACACACTCACACTCACATGTTCTCTCACACACTCACCCCACACAGGCTCACACTCATGCGCACACACACTCACACACACATGTTCTCTCACACACTCACCCCACACAG